GACCAGAAGTATTTTTGCGCAGAACCTCATTCTGCGTAGGCGGCCTTCGGCCGCGCTTAGGGATTATGACCCTCACCAAGTAGAATTTTCCTTTCTGTGTTGCTGGGAAAGGAGGGGCAGATGTATTTTTGCGCAGAACTTCTTTCTGCGTAGGCGCCCTTGGGCCGCGCCTATGGATTATAACCCTTACTATGTAGAATTTTCCTTTCTGTGTTGCCGGAAAAGGGGACCGGAAGTATTTTTGCGCAGAACTTCTTTCTGCGTAGGCGGCCTTCGGCCGCTCTTAGGGATTGTAACCCTTACTAAGAAGAACTCTCCTTTCTGTGCCGGAAACGAAGCTAAGTATTTTTGCGCAGAACTTCTTTCTGCGTAGGCGGCCTTCGACCGCGCTAAGGTGTTATAACCGAGCCGCAATAAAAGAGACTATAAAGAAATCTACAAAAATAATAAAGGCGAACCAAATACATACTTTGACAACTATGAATCCATCAGCTCACCTATGAGACCAATCATAAACCACAAATCGGCCCCAAGCTACAAACTATCAAAATATTTAAAAACTATACTAAAGGATAACCTTGGATTGCCCAATAAGTACACAATATCTAGTACAACGGAATTGATTGAAAAATTAAAAGACTCAGTTATCACAATGGATACTAAACTGGTATCATTCGACATAAAAAATCTATACCCATCGATACCCATAACGGAAACAATAGATATCCTATTCAAAATACTGACAGAAAAACAGGAAACAGAGCAATCGCCGTGGAGATAACTAACGCACTCAGAACGACGTTGCGTCAAAACTACTTTAAATTTAATAACAACGTATACATGCAAACAAACGGGCTAGGCATGGGCGACCCCACATCGGCGATCCTTATGGAGGTATTCATGCAGAATTTGGAAGAAGGGTACATGGAGTATCTTACGTCACATCTAGGAGCGACGTTCTATGCCAGATACGTTGATGACATCATATGTCTTATAACAAAGAAAAATGAAGAACAGATATTGGAATACCTCAACAAACAGCACAACAACATAAAGTTCAATGGAACAAGAAATGGAAGGAAAGCTAAATTACTTAGATCTGACGATCAAAATAAATAATAAAAACACCAGTAGTCTGCACAAAAACAGAAAGCCAAACAAAGAAAGAAACAATGACACAAATTGGGCGGTATTAACCTATACTGGAAAGTCAACGTACAAACTAGCAAAGCTGTTCCAGAAACACAACCTTCGCACATCATTCAGAGCAAATAACAACGTAGGACGGATACTACGGAACACCACAAATCAAGAAGACCCATTGAATAACCAGGGAGTGTATAAACTAACTTGCCGGAGTTGTCCTCGGTGATTGGAAATTTACTTTTATTAAGGTTATCCTTAAAAGTGGCAATGCAAATTGTATTGAGACTTATAGACCGCTTTCTAAGTTTACCACTGTCTCAAAACTGTTTGACTCCATAGGTAAAGACAAAATATACCTTACTGTTAACAGGGCTGCCAGACGTTTAGAATCTAAAATCCGTACACAGACAAAAAGTGGTGCGTGAAAAATCCGTACGCTCAAATTTGTTTGACGAGCAAAAAAAAAATCGTTTGTACTTCGGTGAACTCAGGGATCGTACTTTTAATAACATCAAATAAATCTACACATATTTCCACTAGTCCTATTTATTGATTGCTTTACATACAACCTTATTATTTTTCTGACTAGAACTTTTTAACAAGCAGTGTGTTTTTAGCTTATGTATGTACATGTAACTTTTCAGGTAAGTTGTCGACCCTACCGAGTAACAGTATGATCTTAAAAGTGATGGTTGAAGTTAAAAAAAAAATAAAGAAAATTTGGGTTTTTATGATTTTAAGTATGCGACACAAACTCCCAACAATCGCAGTCTACCAATAGATTGTTATACATAATTTTAATGGCCTATAAATCCTTTTCTCATGTTTGATTTTTAAAAATAGTCAAGCTGTTAATAGATAAGTGCCTCAAGTCCGAAAATAATGCATTTTTTAATAAAAAATGGAGGTTCAGGAACTATAAGAAACCTATGCGATATGTGTAAACAGTACTGTACATAGGTCTTGCGTGTTTATTTTGATTCCAAGCTCAATTCCACCACTCACATAAATTTTATTGTTTCTAAATCGTTCGCTATGTTGTGACCTCTCAAACTGTTGTACTCGTGCTTTTTTAGTTCGGTCGAGGTTGGAAGACGCGTTATTCGTTTCATACAGTTTATGTGAATAGATTGGAGTCTGATCAGAGGCCTTTTATACGCTTTGCTTAGCGCTCCATGAAATTTGTAGACCCTATGCCGTCCTATCGTTCTCGTTGTTTATTGATAAATCCCAAGACCACCACCTGTTTAAAAATTTAATTCAATTCAAATTACACTGTAGGGAAAATCTGAAGTTTTGAAATGACGCAAAAAAACCCGTAGATTATGGTCCTTTATACTGTCTTTCCAGATCAGATAATTTTTCCAATATATGAAAAAAAAGTTGAAGAAGAAAAAAAAAATATATATATCAAACAATTTGTATTTTCTCATTCGTTCGTTTACCAAAAATTCAAGCTGCTAAAGATGAAAATCGATGGATAAAAAAACAAGTGAATGGTGTAATGAAAATGTGCTAAATTTGTTTGTATGAAATAGGAGCAGGAAATAATGTTACTCATACGCCATATCGTACATGACCGTACTCATACATACTCGTACATGGCGTATGAGCAACATTTTCCATTGTAAAGTTTGATTTTTTTCATCACCTGATCTAGAAAAACGGTAACAGATCCGTTATCTACGACCCAAAATTAAGTTTACGTGCCTCGGTGTTTTTTCTCATTTTAGCGTCCTTATAAGTTTCATGAATTACTACAATATGGGTATCAATCTAAATGGTATTTGAAAAGCTTTTTTTAACTACATGTAGGAGGGTTGCCACATTTTTCGAAATTTAGTGCGAGTATGTACTTAGTTATGAAGAGTATATTAGAAAATCTATTGCTAACTTCTTTCAGTATAAAGTTTAGTGTATGTATATCTTGTTTTCCTGGTAGTCAGTAACATACGCGTAAGTAAATTATGCAAATATTGAAGCTACATTCACATAGATTTCCACAAGCACAATTTAAATAATTTTTATTGTAATTTATTAA